GACTGGGACACATTACAGTGATGAAATTCATATTGTAAGTAATAATTTGGGCTCCTCCTATGCATTGATGGATATAAAATGCACTCACCACTCAGGGAAGGAAAAAACCCTAAGCATCAATAAATAGTTCAATAAAAACCATCAGCTCAAAGCACAGCAACAGTAAAAGAAAACTCTTAGGATACATTAAAAAATAGACTGTAATACTAGAATAGAGTGGGTGACTAACAGCACAACAGCTCCTATGTACATACAAAGCTTATGTTGACACAGTTCTTTATATTTGTACATGTGAAGTACAGACATCTTACCTAAATTCATCCTCCAACACTCTCATACTTTCAAGTGAATTCAGTGTAGTATCTAATAGTAGAATTATTTAATTTTAATTTAGAATTGTTTAATCTGTGTAGGCAGACAAAATTTACTACTTAGGAAAGGAAAAAAAGAATCATGGTATTTATTTTCCTTTTACAGTATCATGTTTAAAAACAATATAATTAAACTATCTACCCTTTCATAAAAAAAGCCTGAACATGTGAATATTTTAAGTGTAATCTGTAAATCAAATTTTAGACAACACTACAGACTTATATTTAGAGAGGAAAAACTATATTATAGAAGATAACTAAACATCAAAATTTGAAGATCTTAAAAAAATTTTATTTCATAATGTTCATGTGTTACCTTCCAAGAGTAAACACTCACGGTACACTGGTGCATCAGTCAGTGTATGAATCACAAACCATTAGAGCTTGCACTTCTTTTTATTCATTTTATTTTGTTTTCTAAAAGGTTAACGTACCTGTATACACAGTTCAAAGAACTTCAGATATTTTTAGAGAAATCAATATCTTTCCTGTGACTTTACAGTAGTGTTAGAGTTCACTTTTTCTTTATTTCTACTAAAAAAAAACCCCAAAAACACAGAGACAGACAAAGGAATTTTCCAGTCTTCATTTCTCAGAAACTATTCATGTGCTATGTTTTTCAAAATAGCATTTAAAACTATTGTATATACTTTGTTGGTAAATGTTGCTGCTCTCCCTTGATTCTTTCTCAGAAAGGTTAGCTGTGGACCTTGCAAATTTGTACTCAGTTTTATGTTCTACATCTGCTTCAAAAAACAAATCTAAAAATCAATAATAGAACTATTTCTTTACATTATACCTTATTTCATGAACACCTCTTTGGCTTTCTTCATTTTACCCTATTTTATATTTCAAAATCTTGCCTTGCGTGTGCAACACCTTGTTTTACAAAAGGGCATAGCAACATTAAAGTTGCAAAAAAAAATAAAGCAGCACATTGATTAAGAGGTTTTGTACAAGCTTCAGCTCAACTGAACAATAACAAAAAATCCTCAGTGGTTGTGTGGTGTATGAGAAAGCAAAATAGCCGAAGTATTCTTCAACAAAATGAGCTGTCTGCCACGATTTATCTGTACAATTCCATAACAGCTCCTGCCTGTTATGTTACACTTCTCAAAAGTATGTCATTAAGCTTCCATAAAAAGTCATCACAAATCGCTTTTTCTCCCAAACTGATAATAGACTTATAGATCTAATTTTCAATCTCTTTTCTTCATTACTTTGATTCTTAAGGAGAGTATGACATTTGCTGTCTGAATACTTTGTAGTAATATCTGGCATCTCTACAGCACTTCTGTCTGAGTATCTCTGAGCTTTTAATAGGTTTGTCTTAACAGTGCCTTGATGACATATTTATTTGTTTCTGTTGCAGACTTTTAAAGAAATTGTTTTTATAATTTCACTGAAAAACTACAAGACTTGTTGAAAAAAAAAAAAATGACATAACAAAGCCTTCAGTGCTGTCAGTGTGCTACACCATTAAAATTCTGACCCTTCACAGCACAAGAGGGAAGAACAAATGTGAGGCCTTCTGGTTTTCATTCCAGTCTTTTTAACTTCATGGACTGTCCTCTAGACAAAACATGAGACTGATTAACAGAAAAAACTAAGTAATTGAGAAAATATCAACAAATTAAAAATTAGATTTCCATTCTTATGGTGATCCCTCTTCATTTTTCACCAGTCAACATATGAAACTTTTTTTGTTCATATAGGCCTTCATATGTATCAAACTAACACTCAGTACTTGAAACTGGCTTTGCTAATGAACTAAGTGCATTTGTGACAAAAGCTAGGAATAGGCTGGTTTAGAAAGTTGCTTGCAGAGTTAATGAAAGTAACAGGAAAAGATCACAGGAGCAATGATACAGAATCAGCGTGAAAGCGAAACAGAGAAGAAAGTCTCCCTTTTATCATCTCACAACGAAATTTTACAATTAATATGCAACAAAATCCACCACCCAAGTAGCCTCTAATGATGTAAGTCACTTTCAAAGCACTTGACCAAATACTTAATTACTCTGTGCCAGGCCAGTAAAATATAGATCCTATATCAGATTTTTTCAGCACTGATCTTCAAACACAAGTGTGCTATTATGCATCACAGACAACTCCAGAGACACAGTAAGACTCTGTTTTACCCAAAAGGTTGATGAGAGAGCTAAAAATAGAGACCATGTTTCCCCAGCCCCAGGGATACTACTTCTACCATGACACAGGGCCTGATATTTCTTTGAGAATACCCCAAGTCCAAATTGACAATTAACACTCTCATAACACAGGCAAACCACCACAGCTCTTAAGTGCCGTGTTTCAAGACACCCAAAGAGGTCTTCAGAGCAGTTAGTGAGGGTGTGTCTGTACTCTACAGCAGCAGGACACTTCTCAGACTAATTACTTCATGTGGAGCTTCCTTGCTATAGTCCTGAGCAAGCTCATTTATCTTCATATTCTATTACGCAGTGTAGATACATCCTCAGACAAATCAATTTCTCTAGGTAAGCATATACATTTGTTGAGGCAAAAAGCAGTTTAAGAAGCATTATTATGAACAAATACTCTCACAGTATAACCATTTGTACTTCCAACTGACTCCCACGTTTAAATTGGATTCAAACTGAAAGGGGAAATAATGCAGTGTTCTGCTTATAGAAACACATCAGTAACAGCTCAGCTGAAGTCCGGCAAGGAGAGATGCAACTGTTTTCCTCCCCTAGCACAAGGGATGTGATTTGGCGCTCTTCAGAAGACAAATTAGTCTGAACAACAAAGAAACATCAAATTCCAAAAATCCGCATGCATTGGAAACAAGTCAACAGGTGAAGTTTCGCAATAACTTTGCCACACTCTTTGTCTACACTGAGCGTGTTTAAAGGGAGTGTTTCCTTTACAGACTCTCTTAGAGCCTGAGAACTCTCAATTCCCAAGACTAAATTCTTGATTCACCCTCTCTGCTGTCAACAACTATCTGTAAAACTTACTACAAGGTATGCAATTTTACATTCCTCTAACACCAGTTCGGCACAGAAAAATCAGAAGTTTAAAGCTTACCTTGTCAGTGATTTATACAATCACATAATAGAAAGCAGCCATTTTTCAGCTTTCTCAGGTATAAAATGCACACACCCTCACCACCCCAAAGGACACCACCATAAGAAAGTGCTCTCTAATGATCAAGAAACTAAAGTACCTCTCTCCCTCCTGTACACTGAATTATATGGCTTTCAACTAACCAATCTTACTGTAGTTTTTTCCAAGGATAGTACAACAGTGCTGGATGAGCATTCACTCAATTAATCCTCACTGTTCACTATGTGGCATCTTGCTGTAATTTACAGTACCTACATGTAAAATCGTAACTGGAAAACCTCTCATTTCTCTGTTGATCACTATTAGGTACTTGAATTATTTCTTTATAGTAACTACTCCCCAGCACCTCCATCAGACAATTTTATGGTTCTTTTTTCAAGGTAGCAAACTGGCAGACAGTGATGTGCATCAGGATTGCCCATAATTAGAGATGGTTGACTTGAAATACTTTGGGTCTCTCTTTAGAGGATAAAGCAATTAAACAGCACTTTGTCAGTACAAAGTACAGCTTCAATCTCTTTCAGTGCTACCATGTGTTTTCAAAGCTGACATTAATCAGTCCCAAGAGCCTAAACTCAGAAAATGAGAAGTTCACAACTAATGGCCATATTTAAAACATGTGGTTGAAGGGTACCACCCAACCTCACACAGGGGTTCTATGGATGAATTAAGATTTGCCTTTAACTGTTCAGAATAGCATCCAACAGCCCCAGGTGTAAATCCCATCTGTCAATGTTAATTCCCTTCTTTCTTCACCTACCAGGTCTCCTCCACCTTCAGCAGCTATGAGGAGGCAAATCTGAAGAAAACAAACTCATTAATTAGCACAGCTGGATTAATTTCCTAAATGTCATTTATCTGGCCTTCCTGAAAACAGAAAGTGCTTTGCGGATAAAGAAAGAGTCAGAAATTACACCAGAATATGCCATTTTAAGGCAGAAATTTATCATGACCAAGCTGAGTTTGCACCAACAACTTCTATCTCAGCATTTCCTATCTGTTGAGAGTTTTGTATTGCATCACTGTTAGAGAACTCCACTTTCCTTGAATTTTCACTTCATGTAGTCTCAAATAACAATATAAGATTTAAATCCATGTTTGTATTGCCATGTCACTTGATACATTTGCAGCTTCATGCTTGAGAAATTCCAACTACAGGACCTTTTAATACTGAATCTCTGCAAGGGTATGACTTCACTGCAAATCTATTGGTCTGTGCAATAACTACAACACAGCACAAGGACATTCTAGGGTTAGGACTTCCAGTGCAGCAACCACCAGAAATCTCCCAACACTAATTTCTATCAGAAACCTTTGTATCACCTCAGAAAAGTGAGTTTCTTTCAGTTTTACCAATGCCAGCATGTAACATATCACTGTTTGCCTTGTTTGACACCAAGTCAACACCCAATCCCTAATTCCAGAATGCTTTAGAAACCACAGCAGTGTCACATTTCTGTCTGTGCTTTGCCACTTGAGTTCATCATCAATAAATACTTGCTTGAATGCCTGCTTAAAAAAGCCAAAATTCAAACTCACCTCATTCCCACCAACAGCTTTGGTTAAAATTACAGCAGAAGACACAGGAGGCGGCATGCAGCCCACTGTCTGCAAGCTGAAAACAACAAAAAAGAATGTTACAATCCTTTCAGGAGGCAAACACTAAGCAACCTGCTGCCTTAAAAGACAAAAATAGCAGAGTAGAAAGTCTTATTACCTGTGCAGTGCAATCAGTTTCCAATCAGTTACAGCCCTGCACCAGGAAGAGCACTCCTGCTGGCAGCATTTCTATGCCATCTTTCACCAGTCAGCATGGTGAAGAGTCATGTCACCATGCAAAAACACAAACACTTAACCTCTCTGTGACTCCACTTCCCCATCTGTAGTACTGTAGCTCTCATTCACAAAGGTCTCTACATCTATCACAGACTTCCAGATAAAATCACCTGACTGCCATCAAAGCATCAACAGCTTTCTCTTACACTTTAGAAATCCAAGATACCTATTATTATTGTCATTTTTAGCATTGTTTGTGCAGCAAAGTTATTGAAGTGCACAGTAAATGCTGTTGCAAAGTAAGAAAAAAGTGGCAAACTTTCCTTTGCTTTCAAAGACAGTCCACAAAATCACACCACAATAAATTACCATTAAATTTGAGGCTAAGTAGAATAGGGCTTCTGAAGAAAAACTGTATTGACTTGGAAGGAACAGTAATTCATGGAATTAAATAGATTGCAAAATCCCCAAAAGTGTGGAATCTACATATGATTTCAAGTATTGGAGCTTGAGATTCTAATTCAGACCAATTACTTGTTGTGAACTACTTTGCATTCATAACCCTGTCAGTAGAAGCCCCAAGAAAGGCAGTGTCAAAAAGCTGCAGCAAACAGAAATATTAAATCCAGGCACCAGCGTGCACATTACAGTGCAATTGATATTCCGCAAATATACAAAAAGCTTAAAGAAAAGAAACAAGTAAGTGACAATGACAGCATTCCCTTTGTCAGCTACAGATATTGTGGGAAAGGAAAGAGGCAACCAATGTAAGCGTTCTATAAATCCAACCACAAGGTGCCAAGCACCACCTTGGAAGCACAGAACACCTTCAGCTTACAGTGAAATAAGCTATGGCAGCAGAGAGTTGTCAGCACATGGCAGAATAAGCTCACACTGAAAAGAAAATAAATAAAGGAAAAAGAAACTGTACAGGAAAGTTTGGAAAAATATAGGAAAATATACAGAAGACAACCACATGGCAATTCTGATGTCTGTCTCCTACACTGTGATACTGTTATCTCTCCTATGTGGCAGCCAGCTCCTCAAACTTCTCACCTGCTCTAATAACGAGTGGATGAAATTCAGAGTTATCCAAAGCGGTACAAAATGTGTGCAAGGGCATTCATCTCAGCTGGCAGGGATTCTCCATACTATAAGGGAAAGATTTCATTATACAATCTCTGTTAACCCTCTCGAATTGAAAATAATACGTTTGAGATTAAAAATAAAAATCTCTATCAAGCAATATTAATCTAAAAAACCTGGTACACATTAAAAGGGCACACTCTTGGGTGTATTGAAACATGCACCTGCAAATTTTTTTTCAGTTTGTATCACTACACAGTTCTACCAATATATAAACAGATTCCTCTAATGGCAAAGAGACTACTAGAGGTAACAACCAACCAACTCCTATATTCCACTGCATCAGGCAATGCTATGAGTACTAACATCAGGGGTTCAAACACTTGCTGTTCTGCTGATACCACTAAAGACAACTGAGCAGTAGAGCCTGAAGTCACATGTTTAGAGATGTGAAAGCTCCAAAGTCATATCTCATACCCAATCTTTGCATCTCATGCCTTACCACCTGTGCTCTAAACGCCACATGATAAAAGTGGAGAAGAGGTGAATCTGTGCATAAATTAATAACCTTCATCATGCTCCTTTTCAAATAGATGTTGTCAATGCAAAACCTGGCCAGCTAACAAAAAAATTAACTTAGAAGATGCCTGGGAGGATGTCAGTTTCTCCTCCTATTTTATAAATCTCAAAATAATTGCAATGCAACAAACTGCCTAATATCATCCCAGACAGAGAGGGGGGAAAGAAAACAGTCCCACTCAGCTGTAGAAACACAGGTGAAAAGCTGGTACTACCCAAATCTGCCTATCAAATAACACTTACAGCAAAACAGACCATTAGGGAGGATGGGAGAATCTACCATGTATTCTGATGCAAGATGGAAAAGGTTCTGTGGGCTGCACCTTTCAGGCATAACCTTGTGTAGGGAGCAGGGGAGAACTGCAGTGCCCAGGGGAGCCACTCTGCCAAAGGGTGCTGCATGCAGAGCACATGCCTGTTTTTCCAGGCCTTTTTGAGGGCTATCAACCAGCCACCTCCACATGCTGTACTAAATGTGTGATAAGGAAGTAACTTTACCCAAACTTGTCTTCCTCCCTCCCTGTTTTCCTTAGGTACTGTAGCATTTCTAAGGGAATAAAAACTACAGCTGTGGGGGATTAGGGTGAACTTTGTTTACACAGACCTGCCACAGCACAGTCCCTCACATCAGCTCCTCACACATGCACAGGGACCTGCTTTGAAATGTGTTATTCTAGAATTAGGACAGAGTCAGTAACCTCTGCACCTGCATCACACTGTACAGCTCCCAGCGCAGTGGCTGCTGCTCTGAGTGTGTCCTGAACAGCAGTATTTCTCAAGAAAGCACTCTTTTAAAAAAAAAAAAAAAAACCAAAAAAACCCAACCAACCAAACCACCTCAATTAAACACCTCAATCTGAACATTCTTTCAATGAAACCTCAGTACAACAAAGCTACTGCACTAAAAGATAAAATTGCCGAAGCAGTACTCAAGGAACAAGTGCTTGAAGGGCAGCTTGAAGTATACAGAAGTACAGCAGCTCACTAGTAAGACACAGACATGCTCTCATGAAAAATGAGCCTGGTTTAGTCTCCACATTTAGGGAGATAAATGCACAAGTAGTTATTTTCTTTACAAAAATAAATACACCCCAAGTTTTACAAAGAGTTTTACAAAGAGTTTTACAGCTGTACATGCATATACATACATTTACACTTGTTCATGCAATAGATCATGTCACTTAAGTACTAAGAATCAAAGTGGCATAAGATTCATGGGAAAGAAGAAATGAGACATGCTTCATGGAACCAAAAACCCCACAAAAATCTCTTTCACTTTGCACTTCAGAAACTGAAACTCCATGGATTAGAAAGGAATTTTGGCTACTGTGGGAAATCAGGTATTTCTCCTAGGTGACAAAAAACTTCACAATTATTTTATTTTAAAGAATACCCTTTACTAAAAAGACCTAAATACAAATAAACATCATATAGCAATCTTGTTATTTCCTTGCTTTACTGATACTGTTAAGCAAAAGAGTCTTAACATTTAATTGATGTTGTCTCAATATCACCTTTTCACTATCATTTGGACCAATTCACACTTGATGGAGCAACAGGAGAAGTCTCTTACAAACAAAATGAAATGCTCCTTTATGTTTAGGCCTTGTAGAAACAAACATGAGCAGCTTTTTCATTAAACTTTTAAGACAAAGAACTCCCCAAGCAATGTTTCACCAAGCAGTAAGAAACAATGGGGATTCTTTCACTAGTTTTCTGAAATAATCGATTTTTATATTCAACATTCCAGTATACCTGCATGGCACCAAGTATTGACTCCCATTTCAAAAAAACACCTTTTAACTATTTTTTTTAACATAGCATCTATCCCTAGCACACCATCAATGTAGCTTTGCATATTGGCAGTGTACACTCAAGGTTTAAAACACACTGTTTTCATGTTAACTTAGTTTCTGCTCATTACGAAGTTCTTGACTTAAAAAAACTTTGCTCTTTTCCCCCATAATTCAGCTGGAAACAGATACTGAATCCATGTAAGAAATGCTCAATGAAAACTACTTAAAAACAGCGGGCCAGAATGTGGCATACACAATATTTATTCACTGATTTATGCTTTTCCTTCAGTATTCCTTTTCTTTCTTCCTCACCTTCCTTGAGACCCAACACATCCCTTCAGCTGTGTTTTGTGAAAAAGAAAGCTAACCTGTTGCAACCTCCCTACACATAAGACTGCCCACACTTTCTGAAAATGAGACCAGGTTCCTGAAGGGATAATCTTGGGCATGTACTTTGTTTTCAATAGCAAAGTGCTGAAGCACAAAAAACAACCAGCAAAATCTGTTCACAATACCACAAAACACCAGTTGCAGGATAAGCATCCCTTTAAGAAAACAGCTACAAATATATTTTACTCCATTATACTTAAACATACCCTTTTAAAAGCCATTCATTTATAGGTGTGATTGATAACAGCTGAAGAAAGACCCATATTGCTGTTGGGAAGAACACAAGTGTAAAAATCTGGACAAAAAGGTGTAGTTTCACATGCATCAAAGCACTTGTCAGCTCCTGCAAAGAAAAAGAAGAGAGGAAGTTGCAGTCATAACAGCTAAAGTAAGATCACATTTGTGCTTTTAAAACTAGGATCCGCTTTATAATACAAAAGGAGTGCATGTCAAAAAGTCACCTTTAGGGATCATTGGATCTCTGCTTTAATAATGAAGTACATTCAGACAACATAAAAGCTGTCTGCTCCTGGGCATTTTTCCACAAGAATTGTCCACTACTTCAATAATAGTGTAGACTCAGAACAGCAGCTTTTCAGCAGGCAGCCTTAGCACTTTGTCACAGCTTCAAAACCTGTGTTAACTGCACTGATGGCTGTTTACTTTACGGACTTTTGACATCAAGAGGAGTGAAAACCTGTAGTGAATACATGATTTCAGATTCCTCTGTCTAAAAAGAGCCACAAATGGTGATTCTCATTTATACTATAAAAAAAAAAGATGTTTATGGATGTTTGTATTACCAACCATTCATTTGTGATGTTGCGGGTTTTTTTATGTTTGTTATTTTTTTTCCTAAAAGCAAAGGAGCAGACTTTGATTATTTATTGTATCAATAGGAAATTTATAGGAAAAAGAAATATATGGCTGATGAAGAATAACAAAGAAAGAATACCAAGACCATAACAAGCTAAAAACTGTTAAGCCATAAATTTCAGAGAAATAAAGTCTAAAGCACCACTGGAGACTCAGTAAACAACATAGAAAAATTTAATTTTAAATAGTGTAAGAGCACTCCAGAGAGATGATCAAGTACCCTTAAAGAAAAAAACTCTTCAGCTAGCTCTGTGTCTCTCTGTTTCTGCCTTTTCAGGCATTTCAAGGACCTTCTACACAGGTTTTTGAGTACAAGGAAAGAGCCTTGCACATTTCAACTCATTTCAAATCTCTCAGACTGAGAATAAAAATTCCTCTTCCTTTGTCTCACAGTAACTCACACTCTTCTCAAGTAAACAATGCAAAAGAACTGATGGCACTCTTATTCAAAATCAAATTTGCTGGGATTCTCCAGCTGACACTCCAGATGCATTAAACATGTCTATCTGTATCTCACATACAGAAGTATCCTACTAATTTCATATTTTCACAATTGGAAAATGCCTCAAAACCAGATGGTTTTAAGAAGACACTGTGATACTTCCAAAACAAAACCCAAGACAGAAAGAAAGCCTTGTTGTAACTTCCAGAAGGTGATACAATACAGCCAACCTACTGAATGTATTGATGGAACAAATCTTTGCAGATCTAAATTACTAGTCTTGAAAATGTTTCCAGTGATTGCCTTTGAGAATAGTAATTTAGAATAGTTATCATTATAATAGTATGCCTGAGACTGGATGATCACAGCATAAATGCTGAGGCAAACAGCCTCAACCTCTTAAACAATTTACAAGGGCTTATCCAAAAAATACATCTGCCACCTCAAAAAAGTTGCTGGAAGCTGCTAGTTATGACTCTGTTTCTGTACACCAGACAGAACAGGTTACCTTGTCTTCCCCAGAATTTCACACCCTTTAGGGAGCCTATCCAGCCTCTCCCTGGCTGGTGTGGGTCCCTGTTGCCATCCAGCCACTCTTCCGATAGTCACAGCTGGACTCCCGTGAGTAAATACCCACACAGAGTAAACAGTGTTCTCAGTGGCTTGCCAAATTCCTCGTTGAAATGGATAACTCAAGTATGTGATTTAATTTCTGGGGCCCTATGGGAGGTATTTGCTTTAAAAGAGCAAGCTTTCCAGTCACTGCAAACTGAAATAGAATTATATTAGGGTGGAATGAAATGTTCTTGTCAAAGAACACTGAGTATTTCTACAAATGTAAGAGGACCTTTGTCACCTCTGGTTCTGAAAGTGTAACAATGCCATGCACAGACAGGCTCTCCTTGAATGTTGCCAATTATTCTGTAAAATGCTTTCTGAACACACTAGCAAATTTTTTTTGAGCATGCACTTATACAGCAAATTAAACCAGAAGTGTAACACTAAAAGAGCATCAGTTATTTCTAATTTTGTCAGATTTATCAGAAGGCCTCTGTAAACACTTACAAACTCTCCATCCTGTCATAAAGTATACCAAACACTAGTTTCCATCTAACTAATACATTGTCTAAGGTAGAACAGCTGATACACAGGTCAAGAACAAATAAAGCCAAAAGCAAAAACCATATACTTTGCAATCCAATAAAAAGGCCTATTGAGTAATAATACTAACTTTAGGTTGTGCCTTAAACAACTAAAACATGTGTCAAAGTATTTTAATAAAAACATGACCTGGCCACCTAACACATATAAGGATTGTTTTTAACATACACTTTAGAAAGTAATAGCACAAGCTACAATGTGAGAAATTTTCTTCTTCTGTCTGCTACCCCCACGGCAGAAATTCAGGAAAGGTTCTTCACGAAGCTGGATAACAGCACTAGCCCTAACTGCTGCTCCCAAAACCATCTGAGATCAGCTACCTGGACATAAACATCAGCTCCTGTAAAAGCTTCATTTACATCAATATACTGCTTTTAATACTATAGATGGAAAAAAGTTATGTAAGTTCAAAGTAAGACACAACACATTGCCCAGAAACCTGTCATTCGCATCACCTTAACTGGAAGGAGCTATATGTAAACTACATGGAGAACCTGATTAGGTTCTCTTTGATTCTTTGACAATTCTTTGATAATGCTGCTGATTCTCACAGCTGCTTTGCAAATACAAGGTTTCAAGGATACAAACTAGTAAAAGGCAAAGAAATTTTACATTTTTTTTCTCTGCATACAAATATTCCTAAGCCTAAAAGAGGAAAACTCCACTCTATTAACACTACTCAGGTTTGTGTTTTGAGTTCTCTTCTCTGTGGAAGAGAACCCTCCACAGCCTATTTCCATTGAAGTTGAAAAGATGAAAGTTCACCACTATAATCACGATTCAGGTAGAGAGACTTTTTTGTTGTTGAATGCACAGTGTTCACTCAAATCCCAGCCCACCAAGAGATAACTGGACAAAATTGTGATGATTCTTTCAGGCATTAGCATCATGCAACTTATGAATAGCATCCCCTTGTTAGTCAACAGCACAAAGGAATCAGAAAACTAGACTAGCAGAGATGTGCAGTGTTTAATTTCAACTCAGGCTGCTCCTTCTCTTGGCAAATAGCCATCATCTCCTTTCTCCACTATTCCTTTACACGCCCCTCCATCTCTTCTGAATCCCAGACTGTTCCTCTTTGAATAACATGTGTCACAGAATTTTAAACAAATCTCAGTGCCTGTGATATGCACCAGACTGTAGGTACCTCAAATCCACCTGTCCACAACAAAATCCTATGGGAAAAGATTGCCAAGACTTTGCCCTTGTATATTGACATTGTATTTGCATAGGAACCCTTTAGTGCTAATCCTAGCTGCTGCCCCGGCCCTACCAAAAAAGGTAACTTAAATCTACCAGGTCTTTGTTTCATCAATCCAGCAGTGAACAGCTGCATCTCACCCTGATTTGAGTTTGGGACACAACGAGGATGGAGATCCAGTCTCCAAATCGTGCTCATCACATCCATTTAGTTAAAGTTGTGCAGAGACAAACCACCCACCCTCTGTGGATGGGTGACATTTATTCACACTATCCTTTTCATCATCTTCATTACTTTGTGAAGGACTTTCTGAAATCAAAGAGGGTTATTCTTTAAACATCTAACATTTATCTTCTATTGATAGCCATCCTCCCAGCACCACCACCATTCCAATTACATTCAAATATGATCAAAAGGAACACAAAATTTTTTTAGAGCATAACAGGAATGAAGCAATGAAACAGTACAGTACCTCAGTTTTTAAGGAGAGTCCACTGTTAAAGAATATAGCTGAAACAGCAATGTAAGTTATGGTAATTTCAGGTTTCAAGGGTCCTAAAAAATACAAACATAGAGAACAAAGTGAACTACAGTCAGAGGGATAATGATATGCATATACTGTATCAGAGTAAATGAGAATACTTTAAAAATACCTGGAGAAAATCTAACAGTAAAGTCTGTAATAAAAAGAATTGCATTTCTATCAAGTTACAGAAAGCATGCTATTCATTTTAAAATAAAAGTAAACCAGTGAGTGTAGAGTGAGTTATGTCATCATATAAATTTGACTTCCATGATTAGAGGCCACTGAGAACTCACAAGTAAATTCTGGAAATTTGAAAATGGGGGCTTTTCACAGTTCTGCCATCAGACTATCCCTACAGCATCAGCAAACTCAAACTATGCACTCCAATAAAAATATTACCTGGTACCTTCACAGGGCCACTGGCGTCCCTCACACAGCTGCCTCTCACTTATTTCCCTACAACACACACACCTGTCTGTCTGCCTGCACAGAAGATCCCAAATCACACCTTGCAATGATTTCCTCAGGGCAATACAATTCTGTGTTATTCCACTCACAACAGAAAACAGTTCAAAATGGTTCATTCCAGCCCCACAATAACACATTTCAGACACTACTGCAGTGAGATCAGCAAGGGCAGACGCCTGCACCACCAAGGGTCCCTCTGTATTGAAGGCTTACATTTGTATATATTTATATACACTTTCCAGGGAGATTAAAATACAGTCTTTTTTACACTCCTATAAAAATGACAAATTATCTTAATACACGTTGCCTTCAGAGGCCACCAGGCATAAAATGTACGTGCTCATTTTTTCATGAGCATTCAACCAGATATTATGTTAGAAAGAAAATATTAGCAGTCTACTTAGGACCAAAGTAATATCCTCACTCTACAAGTGACCCTAAGTTGTCAGGAGCAAAAGTGCAGCAGCAAACAAGCCAGCCTTGACTCGCCACTGCAAAGAGAGGAACCTTTCTGCTCCCTCAGATGAATGGTACATTGATGGTCACACTGGAGTAAGGTCAATGGTCTTTAAATAAGAGGGACTTGATTGCACAAGTCAAAAAAGCATCTCATTTCAACTCAAATCCTACTCTCAGAGAGAACTCTGTTGACAAGACACTAAAACTGTGTGTGCCAAACACACACAAAAAAAAAAAAAAAAGAAAAGAAAAGAAAAACCCAACAGAACAAGAAAAAAAACCAAGCAAGCTACATATATGAAGTCTAAGGTAAAAATAAGACAGGAAATGCAAGAGTTAGTGTTACAGTTGCAACAAAGACGTGACTAGTTGCAAAATTATGGCATGTTAACTGAAGAGATGGCAGGGGAAAAACCCCAGAAGATTATATAAATATATAGTTCTGCAGAAAACTATATGTTATAGACACAATTACCTCTTTTTTCTAATCCTTTAGAAAATTAGAATCTCTATGTACATGCACATACAGCAGACAGGCAGAGAGTTAATCTGGCTAAAACAGGGGTTCTTCCAGGACTCAGTTTTTTCTGGTTTATGATTTTTTACTGGGCTACCGGAACTCCTTCTCCCAGGAGAAGCCTCTACCACCAGAGCAACCACACACTCGAGGAGCACAGGGAACTCTGGTCACAACAGAAAAATTCTTCTCACAAAGGAACTAAATGGGCTCATTTATCAAATAGGAAAATACACAAAAATGGCTTGGCTTATGTCATGAAGGTGACAGCCACACAAATCTTTGTTATTTAGGGCACAATCTTCCATGGGTATGGATGCTAGACCATCCATACCATTCACTAAAGCCCTGTAAATTACAGTGCATGGCTTTGTCAGCTGGAAGATGACAAACTAAGGTTTTTTCGTGTGTTGATACTTCCCACCCCTCACCTCCTTCTGCTTTTAAAAAGAAATATTTTTCTTCCTTAGAGTACTGAGATCTCATCGTTTCAGAGGAGGGAATACCACTATGAGGAACATGTGCTCACTACTTTCAATCAATGTTTCCAAGATTTTTCAAGCAAGTTATCCTAGAAACAATACAGTGTCAAAGCTTGACATCTCTTTGCAGCGATAATTTAATGAAGCATCACAGTGCTTCCATGCAGGAAGTGAGCTGAGGAGCAATTACCTCCTGCTCTAGTTAAAAGGGCCTCCCACATGGCTGCTAACAATTAGCACGGCACTCAAAGCAGAAAGGGACAAAACACCTGATACTATCAATTTCAAGTCAGTCTCTAAGGTCTGCGGAAAACACAGCACGGATCCTGCAAGAAGCTCCACGTGGGTTCTATTCACCCATGCAGAACAGCACAGCGATGTTAGAAGGAATCCTTGCACAGCAGGAATTTTGCCTACCCTGAACTCCATGAAGTACCGGAGCCTTAGTTGCCACAGCATGTGTTCAGAGCCACATTTTTTAAATCACTTTCTTTTTTTCCCAGAACCTAAGAGGTGGGAAAAGTTTGGCTCCTCAGTGAGAAGCTGTCTATCCTCAAACTTCAGCTCTGTTAAAAAGAAAAAAAAATTAAAAAAAAAAAAACCTGTGCCTATAAAAGTACAGACAGATTCTTCCTCCTCTCAAATAACATGGACCTGCTAGAGGAACTCTATTGAAGTGTTTTGCATCCCTTTTCTCAAACCATCAGAGAACAACTAGGAAGAAGAAATACAACATTTAATATGTTCTTGGAATCTATGAACGTCTGGAGCTGACGTTCCAATGGAAACTAACGAGGATATACCCCCTGCGTTTATACTTAAAGTTACATTGTTTATGTTTAAATAACACTGGATATTTCATCAGCCCTTGTTCCGGGAGCCCTCCCTGCTCAGCAAAGGACAGCTCTGCTTTGCCCCGTGTTCCACCACTTTCCACTGGAGCATTTTCCCTGTTTTCCTCTCCCTTCCATGAGGAAATAAGAAGGAACAACAACGAGACCAAGAAAAATCCAAAACTGTAAAATACAAGTGTTCTACTGTAAAGCGAAAGAAAAGGTCTGGCCGAAACCCAGCTCCTGAGAGTTTACCACAATACACCTCCGGGGAAGCTCCCAAGCGGCAGAAATCCATACCTGAGCTGCCGGGACTTGGTGCCCACAGCTCTGGAAGTTATGACTTAGTTGAACAGGAGCACGTTCAGAGCCAGTCACCACTTGGCTTCCATCACTCCTAATCCCAAAAGGGCAGGACGCTCCTCCAGCCGCTGGCACAGCGCCGAGCAAAGACACGGGAGCACACTCGGGAACAACTCCCGAGTTGCTGAGGAGCAGCGGCTGGAAGCAGAGGAGCCGATGGAGGGCAGGGGCCCCGCACGGGCGGGACGAGGCGCGGCCGCCGGGAGTTGGCGAAGTCCCGGGGGCTGGCGGTGCCCGCGCCGGGCTGCGGGGCACAGCGACCGCACTCACCGCCTTTGACGCCGACGCCGGGCTCCAGCCGCGCCACAGCGATGACCAGCGCGATGCCGAGGATGAACCACTCCTTCCGCAGCCGCTCCAGCAGCCCCATGGCGCTGCCCGGCGCGGCGGGGATCGGCTCAGCCCGGCGCCGCTCGGTCCGGCTCGGCCCGGTGCCGCTCCGGGCTGCTGCGGGCGCGGGGCGGGGCGCGGCCCCACCGCCCGCCGGCAGGGCCAGCCGGATCCGCTGACGGGGAAAGGCTCACCCACCGCCGCCATCGCTACCACGCACCTCCTAATAGGCGCGCAACCCCGCGCTGCCGCCCTCCTGTCCGCTCGGCTACGCGCGACTGCGGCCCCCCGCCGGCTTCGGCCGCCCCAGCCCCGCGTCCCCGCGCCGAGGCGGACGCCACGGGTGGCGGCGGCGGGAATGGGACAGCGCCGTGGCTGCCGTCGCCGAGCGGGTCGGGGAGAGCGCGGGCACGGAGCCGGTGCCGAGGGCGGTAGCGGGGCTGGGCGATCGCGGCAGGGCGGGCGCAGCGAGGTGATGCGCGCTGTTTCGGTACATTACAACGCCCGCGTGACGGCCGGCGTTTGACGCGCGGGAGGGCGGGCGCGGGCCGGGAAGCGCAGGGCGGGAGGCGGGATCCGGGATCGCTCCGTGAGGGCGGCCGCGGGCCGGAGCCAGCCGGGCGAGCTCCGACAGCTGCGCTCCCCGCAGCCCCGGGCGCGGCAGCCGGGAGCGCCGGGCGGGCGGGGCCGCCGCCGTGTCACGCACCTGTTACCGGTGTGCGCTCACGCCCGCCCGTCCCTGCGCTGCGCCGCCGCCGCCGCCAGGGACACGTGGATCGGGATCACCCTGGAGTTCCCATTGCCTGTCCGTTCCGGGCAGACCCAAAGGCACCCGTTCAGCCCTGTCGCGACATGCTGACAGCACCGCTCGAGCCGACCAGCCGCTTCCCCGCGGCGAGGGGTTCCCTGGTTTGCCTCTGTGCTAGAACCACTTCCATTAAAACAGTATCGTTAAACCTCATCCTGGTGCTGCACCCGCGCTTTCCGTTCCCTATTCCCCTCTTCTGGCGCTTCCCCGATGGATTCATCATCCCGCCCGGCCGCGGCCACCGCGCTGCGAGTCCGCGAGCAGGGAGATGCCAAGGCAGGGACGCTCCGTTTTCCAGCGGCTCCCGCCGGTGCTGCCCCGTCCCGCAGGGCTCTCCCACGCACGGCGGCTCTGCTGCGCGATTCCTCAACTTTGGGGCAAGTTTCATCCTGCAGTCTCTGCCGATGTATTCAAGCTTCAATGAATAAGCCCGCCGCGGGCTTTCTGCTACCAAGGAAAGAAATGTTGTGGCTGAAAGCTCCGCTGATCTCCAAGATGTGCATATTCCTGCGAGTCCTGGGAGGTTCGCTTGTGTAAACAGGGATACATCAGAGCCGAAATGTTTGGCTATGGGAGGGAACGTGCCTTCTCCCGCCCACAAGCAGATCCAAAATGTGAGGTTTCAAATGATAGTACATTTCACCACTTTACTGAAGTTTACTGGAATACACGTTGATCCTCACTCTCTTCTCAGGAGGGAGACAGATTGCAAAACCTCACTGCACTTGACCTGTGCAATGACTGCGGGTTGGCTGTTTTGGGAGAAAATAAATGCATAATGTGTTCATCTAGAGCAAGCTGTGATTATAACGAGTGTAGGATTTTAATACTTGGAGGATTTGATCGCTGCACAGGAGAGATAAATCCAATGAAGGTGTACAGTCAATGTTGATCATATAAACTATATTAAATCTCTCTGTGGATACTCACTCAGAGGTGGCCCTAGCTCTGGGACATCTGCACCGTTCATGGATCAAAGCATGCACATCTTTTCCTGTGTGGCTCTGAAAGCACACCACCAAGGGCACAGGCCCTCTGATTTGAACACAACAGGAGAGCATGGTTTCCCTGGTAGTTTTCTTGTGAATTTGTACACAGCCCCGGAGCTCCTAACAGAGATGGGAAGGAGACTTTTCACCCTGTTCCTAGTGGTTCCAGCCAGGCTGATGAGTTGCAAGATGCAGAGGCCTCACACTGGACCAGCAGGGCTAGAAGGCAGAAGCAGATCCAGCATAATTCAGGGAAAAATATATTAATAAATAATCTGTTTAGATCGAAAGTTATGGAATCAGAAGTTAGAAGCAGCTGAATTTCATAGTGAATGAAAATGCTGCAGTATCAATTCCTGAATAAGCTGCAGAGGGATACAAAGAAGGGGCAGGTAAAGAGGATGCTCAGTCTGGCAATAAAATCTAATCATGCAATAAAGACAGCAGTCTCACCCTGCTTTTGCATCATATTTTGTACATGGTAGTAATCCTGCTCCTCACTCTTTGCAGGTGGATACTAATAATGAGTTTCTAATCTTGCTTAGTGTTCACGTTAATTCCAGTTGATTTTGCCAACAAGTTTCAGCTATTTGCTCATAGTAGATCTAATAGGCAAAAGTTAGAAACCTCAGGTTCAATCCTAGGCTCTAAAAGGTTCTTCTCAATTTCCCCTCCAAAGGGTCATTTCCTGTGCACTGTCCCAAGCCTGTTTCTCCTTCTCTAAAGAAGGATGACATATCTCACTAGTTAATACATGTAGAGCAGTTAAGAAATATATATACTAAAAACCACAAACAAACAAACAAGAAAAGCCCCCAAAACCAAACAGTTATCAGATAGAACTTCTGTCACGCTCAAAATAAAAAAATATGAACTTTAATGAGGCTTGCTTTGAGGGGATGCTTTGCCTTTAAATTTTTTTCCAAGAGATCTGAAGTTGGTAATAGGTTTCTTTTGCCATCTGAGTTACAAAATACCCGGGTTCACGAGGCTCTCTTCTTCTGTAATCTTTGCAATCATATGCAGATCTTCTAAGTTGTGTGTTGAAGGACTTGTACAAAGACATTGTAGCTGGTTTTTGGGGTTTTTTAAAAGCTGTCCTGCTGTGACTGTGGTAAGCATATATGTCTCTCAGATTAAATAGATGAAACTGTTCCTGCTTTTAAAAAATAGAAGACTCTGTAAGCCTTGCCATGTCCCACCAGAGTGAAGTAGAAGGGAAGAAAACACTGTACATGAATTTTATAATTGGCAGGACACTCACACATCCTAAGACTGTTTGCAATGCAGCATCACTGTTGCTATCAGGGAATTTATCATTCATATGGAGGCATTTGGTCTCTGTTTTAGAGAGGGACATTTCAGTGTCTGTCCTGTCATCCAAAACTGTCTCCTGCAACATTTCACATTCCTCCTCATGTTTCTATACAAATAATACATATACTCTAATAAACACCAGGACTCAAACAGATCTGGAATGGTGTGGCACGTGCATATGTTTATTCTCTGTTACATTGTACAAAAAGATTTTAGGGTATATTTAGCTGTGGCTTAGACACAGTACAGGAACAAGAATTTAGCCTCTCTCTGATTTCACATGACCAAGTTTTATTTTATTTTTGTTCAACTGCAAACATACCTTGGGGCTTCCAGATGCTTTCCTGCCTCCAAAGGCCCTTGTGCTTCCTTCTGCTTACAGAAGCTCAGTGACATGTGTAGCTATGTGGCACCAGGTCTTTGTTGCTTACAGGTAGCCTGCTGACACCAACAGGGCTGTTTGTGTGAGCAGGGACAGGATTTCATGTCTGCAAAGATGCAGGAGTGGACTGGACATTTCTGGGCTTCACATTTTGAACCACCACTCTTGTGTGGTTTGAGCCTATTCCTTTTGTGTGCCCAGCCTCTGACCTGCGCCACACACCTCACTGCCTGATAAGTGCACTGTTATTCTAGGGAATGTGCAAGGATTTTCATGCTCCTGAGTAGCAGATGTCATCTGATTATGCGTTTAGACAGGAGAGATTTTAATATAAAGGAGAGGGGATCACCAGATAAAGGGAGCTTAAATGAGAGGAAGAGATAGTATTAAATAATTTAGCTTGAAAAGAACAAAGATATGCAAGATGAACAAGATAAAGAGAGGTGTTAATTATAAATAGGAAAGTTGAGGAGAAAAAGTGGAAATGTATGGGAGGCAGTTTACTACACATTTATATTTCTCACAAGCACTTAATGGCATGATCTCGGATTTTCTCAGAGAAAATTGAGGAGATTGCTGTGCTGATCCCAGTAGCTGGATTTCTTCATGGAAGAGGAATTTACAAGTTTTTGTTGTGCCTTGGCCTAAGTGCTTATACTGCTTTAGGCATCTACAGGGTATCTTTTGGTTCTTGCTACTGAATATTATTGAATACCTATGAACGCTTAGGTATTGCCAGCTGCAGGACTTACTACCCTTAGCATAATGCAGTAGCAGGAATTATGTACAAGTTCAATTTAGAATAGCACTTAATGGGACTTAAATACACATATAACTGTGTTTTTCTAAATAGAAGCTATGAGATGATTAAAGGTTTTGTGAATCTTTGGGTTTATTATAATGCTATGATCTTTTTTCCCCAGGTACCATAAATGCAGAATACTTTTTTGTTTTTAACTTGTAATAACAAGGTATTCAACAAATAAGTGAATTTTTCTTTCACTTAAGAGCTCAGTGTGAAATTTTCATATAAGAAAATTTAAAAGACAGCAAGTGGGGGTTTTGCTGATCCGTTTCCTAGAACCTGCTTGTTCTTACCAGAAACAGAACCTGGTTTACTGATGCTCCACTCATTATATTCTCTTGACTTACTTCTCCTCCTAGACTACCAGGAGACCATATAAATTTAGAGAAATTGTCATGTTTAGCACTTTTTTCACAGAAATACAGTTTCCTAGTAGACAAAAAAGCTATAATGTATTCAGAAGGTTGCATTAAAAAAATAAAAAGGAAAAGAAAAGCTATTAGCATAATAAGCTGTTGCTCTTGATACAAATTATGGGTTTCTTCAACTGCAATTCAAAAGCAGAAGACAAAAAATTATTTTTTTAAAATCTTGAAAAGCTGGACATATTTAAACCTGAAAAATGAAAGCAAGACCAGGAAATAGCTTCTCTGAATAATTTCACAATGAACAACTATGTTTAACCTATTAAATAAAAGACTTCAGAAATAACAGGGAGATACCTTCATATAATTTTCTCCTTATTCTTTTAAAAACAACCTTCTAATATTATAATAATCATACCAAAATACCTACAACGTAAGAATTTTCACTACAACACTCTGTGCTGCATTTTTACAGGGGAGAAGCAGGGGATTTATTCCTGGGTGTGGATGCACAGATGTGCAGATGCAAAAGTTTT